TACTCGATTCAATTTTGTACTCGAGCAAAAATATGGCCAATTCATGCCGTACCATACAATATTTTCCGCCTAACAGGCAGCTATGAATTATTCGCGTCATTATTTTGTCACAGTAAACCATCAATCGAAATGCAAGTGAGCGACTTATAACGCTGCGATGCACTGCTTCGTTGCGTGTCTTTAGCAAATTGAGCATTTATGTAGTTTTATTATCATCATTGTCAGCATGCTGCTTAAAACACTACATGCAAACTTCATACCAGAGTCTTTGCTCTTAAACATGTAGCACTAGCTAAGTACCATACCTTACGTTCTAGAAATTGTCAAGCACTTATAGATCAGCAGTCGTTGCCATGGATATTTAAATGGTCATATACGTAACAAAGCCACCGTACGACCGGGTTGTTCCACACTGCACAAAAAGAGGTCTAACTCTTAGCCTCTGCGTGTATTAACACTAATGAAATAGGGAACAGACCGCCTCCAATACGCAGAACCTAGAGCCTCTCACGTGTCTGATACTTCAAATTCAAAAGATTTCCCATTAGAAATTAAGCTATTAAGACTCTGTTTAACGGATTACGTGGGGTTAGTCCCATAGACCTCTCTTTTTAAGAGCGATTCATTTTATACTGCGCCTGTTAGGGGGCTTCGCCATTATACTCTTTCAAAGTCAATCTAAGAACAGATGAGTGCTTAGACAATGACAGAGTACGTACCCCTTTGCACCATCCTTTACAAACCGTAGAACCCTCCATGGTTACAAGTCTCACGTCGTGATCGAACATCTAACGAGCATAGTAAAGTTTAACTTTCACGATCACACACCGGGCTAGTAATTCCTCCATCCACTGGGTAGCTAAGCACAGCGCATGGCTCCACAATTGACTCATCGGATTGCGTATGTCTTCTCCGCAAATATGAAGCTGTGCTCGTCAAAAGAGTCCGCTTGGGCTTGAGAGTTACCAACGTACACCCTCACCTTTCTGTGATCGCGATTTAGTTTTACTGTAGCCTCTGCACGAGTGATGCACATTGTCACATTGTGACCGTTTTTTTAGGCGGATTTTTTTGCTTTATGGGTCAAGACGAGGATCGACCAAAAAGTAATGGTCTGGCCCAAGCTTTGAGACAGGTATTGCACTTTTGAAAGCGCAAGTGTATAAGCAAGCTTCCTTTGGTCGCTTGGAACAAAATCACACCGTGATTATGGCTTCGATTGACTTTATCCGACGGGATGATTTAAATGGTGAGCATCAAGTGGGCCTTATTGGAAATTTGCATCCTAAACGAGAATTATACGATTATTGCACAAGGCTGAAGCCACATGTTGCCAGCTAAATATAAGGACAGTACATTCACAACTGAGAGACACAACATAAAGACAAACAAACAAAAAAGCAAAAAACTCCAGTGAATATACTCAGAATCAACTACGCCTTACTATAGAGCAAAGCCAGAACCTCTCGCACTCTAAGGCGAATCATACAGAGCCAAGGCGTGAAGCACACATACTGCCAACTGCGGGGGGCAAGTAAGGGTCCGTATTAAGGTTGCCAGCGTCAATGTCGCTGTCGAAATCGCCATGATGCGTTACGTCGTCAGGAACGAGAAGAACGTTTAGGGGGGCTTGGAGTGCCTTTCTTGCCATTAAGGTAAGGTCAGATTATTAATAACATTTCAACAGTAACGTTTAGCATATTACCTTTAAATTACTGATTGAGGGTGTTTAGGAAATTAGTACGATACAGCTACACAGCTCAATCAAATGCGTAATAGTTGCGTAAAGTGAGATATGTTAACATGGTTGCAATTCGAAAGATGACCATCTTATTAGCCTTGCCATTCTTATCTATATGTCAAATTACTTTGCCTAATATGAAACTTACGCTTACTAAGGAGTCTTTACCTGATTGTATAGGTAGACCCGCTAAATCGGTGAATCTAGAACGAATGAGGTGAGTTCGCGTAGCGATTTTTCCCTAATTTTGTGCGTCAACTTTTCACTGTTAGATCTGGACTACAAGTGGAATCAGAATACTATATTGAAGGATCATAATAAAAATCTTACATCACTGACGAGAAAATGGTATATCAAAAAGGTGAGGTCCGTGACGCCCACGGGTCTCATGCGACGCGTATATCAGTAAGAAAAGATGTAAATGTTTATCATCTTTAGATAGCCCTCATTCCATAAACCTCATTTTATATGGTTAACTAGCGTGGTTTCTAGGTTCTTGATCGGCTCTTGATTTGATAGTCGACAAACCCATTCTAAGTAGAAGTAACGGAATAGTGCAATTGCTGGTCCAAGGCTCGAAGGCGGTTAACGTTAGTTTGAAGACGTTTCGGGGCATACTAAAATTGGCTGATGGAACTCTTCCATTCACGTTTCAAGCAGACGATGATGAGACGCCAATAGCTCCAGCGAGTACATCTGAAGTGAAACTACTTCAACTGAATTCCAAGCTTTTTAAGACAATTTTATAAAAATCCAGCTTCTAAGTGACATTGATGATGTCAGTGGTCTCACAAAGAGCTACAGGTCACAAATGCCAGAAGTAAGGGGTATACAAAACAGCGCGGGCTCTAAAAAGAACTGTCGGCTTTTTCTTAGTTGACAACAGGTGTGTTTTACGCCTCGCCTATGGCCTTGTTGTCTAGCGGTATGATTCTTGCTTAGGGTGCAAGAGGCCCCGGATTCGATTTCCGGCAAGGCCCAGTTGATGCCGAATATTATAACCAGATAATTTTCAGTTTATTCTTGTTTTTTGCTTGTGCTTGCTGTTATGTGCCGTCTTTAACTTGCGAATAGCCTAACTGTCCGCATTGTCTGTAATGAACTGTGTGATTACTGTGTATGATCTAAACAAGAAATTGCGTTTCTAAGTGATATGATGATGTCAGTGGCCTCACAAAGAGCTATAGGTCATCAATGACAGAAGCAAGGTGTTATAAAAGGCAGCACGGGCTCGTAA